ACCAAGCAATGATGGCGTGGCGTGGTGGCAAAGTATCTAAGAGACCAACTTCGAACTTTGGAGGTGCTACGTTCGATTATGGCGGAAGAGCAATTATTGTCATAACAGCGAATTCCTCTGAGCAAAGAATTTATAAAGCGTTGCTTCAGACCTAAGTTTCTCAATCAGTAGAACGTTGGACTCAGAACCGGGGTCCCGAGTTCAAGTTCCAGTGTGGATCATTTCCATCTCATTCTTCTGAGTTAATGAGTACAGCGCTGTAGGAAAGAAACAGAACACCACACGCTATACCTGTCACATGGCTGCTGTCGTTTTTGCCTCTAAAATAAGGAACCTCCGGCGGATGGCATGAAAATGGAGTTCAGCGCCCTACCGTTTACTTCAGAAATAAAATGGCGCCATAATAGGAGACCAACTTTCCAATGGTTACAAATTTATCAAGCAATGATAATTAATGGTTGCCAGAACTCTCCATGCCCTTAAGAAAAATCAAGCTAGGCAAAAGCCACTCTGGCAACTAAAAACACAAAAACACTGGAGCGACTAATCTCGATAATAGCCCAAGATTCTGAAATCTTCCGTGTCGAAATCTGCTGCATCATAAGCACCAGTCATGCCTTGACGTCCCTCAGTGTCGGTCAAATCAACAGCCAGGCGGTCTAGGTGCATCAGGCTGCTAGAGAGAACCAAAGTCTACCGTCAGTCAGGTTTCTGCAGTTTCAGGAAGCCCCACAGTTACAATTAATCCGAGTCGACCTGCGCGAACAGTTACACACCAGCTGACTGCACAGAATACCAGCATAATCTTTCAGTGATATTTACATATACTGCTGTTTTCCTTTTTTGTCCAAAGAAAACTTTTTTTATATTGTGCTGAAACATATGCTCAGATTGATGACTCGTTATAGCTTATTAAAATCTTAATATGAATCCTTTTCAGCAGAGGATAACATCAATTGTTACCATATTAAACGCTTGTAAAATAAAATTTTTGAACTTTCTCGTACTTAACAAACTCTTGTTTCCAGTGGTACTGAACCGATAGAGGAGCGAGAATCAGGAACTTTCTGCCGGCACTGAACAATTTGTCCAGAAACGTTATTGCCTGAAATAAAAAACTAAATAAACAGAGCTAAATTTGACATTTGGCATACTTGACAAGTTTTGCCCAGACCCATTTCGTCGGCGAGAATCATTCCATGACCGGCATGATAGCAGCTTAATATAAATTCTACGCCTTCTTGCTGGTGGGGTTGCAGTGACACCGCAGAATCATCATTCATCGTGTTAATCTGCTTTCTTTGACTATTCAGATTTGGCAAGAAATTTCCTACCTCAATCTTTTATAAGCGGCCAGAATGGACAGAAGATTCGAAGGTCAGCGTTTCAAAATGAATCTAAACGACTGCCATCTTGTCCTGACCTTTCGCACGATAGATTAGTCCTGCAACAGAAAAATAATAAATCACCTATGCATACGTTTCAAATAACCCAACGATTACGAAGACCTAACGGCGACCGTAAACTGATTTTAACACGCAATCGTTTTAAACCGCTTTACACCACATGTTATGACCTCGCGTACTTCGGGCTTGTTATCCACAACTTTCAGACATAAAAACACTAATAAATTATCTAATTACATATAACGTAATATAATGGCATAATGTGTACAAATTAGTGCATTTATTGGGATGACTTTCTAATGAGGGCGGCGGGCGATTCACCGCCACCATATTCACTGCAATCAGCTCACGCAATGTTGCGCGGAATAATCTGGTATAAGGACTTCAATCGGCAGTATCTACCACACAATCTGTGCAAAACGAGAAACATTATTTTGTAATGGCTGTGTGTTAATAAACATTACGTAATGAAAACGTTCGTTTAACTCGAGTCACACGTATGAGCTGAAGTGCTCCAATTCCGTGACAAAGTCTTGCTTAAGTACCATAAAGCTGTGACATGCGTCAATGGTCTACTTAGAAACCAGGAACATACAGGCAAGGAAATGAGCCG